GCGCCCCAGGCTGTCAAAACCTCCATTCAAGGTCACTCTCTGTCTGGCTCACTGGACAACGACTTCCCAAGGCCAGTCCACAACGGGCCCTAGTGCGGGGATTGCTGACGGTCAGACACACCCCGAGCGGCCCGCTCATGGCTGGACTTGCATTCGTCTGGGAGTCACTTACCTATTACTTGCATCCTACGCCTGTTAGAGCTTATTAAATTATGCCAAACAATCTGGCCTTCCACGCCTTATATTATCTACTAGTTCATAACCTTTGGGATACGCTCAATCGTCTGTTATCTGGACTTCTTCGTATCCCACAACTCTATAACTGTTTTTTTCTACTTTATTTTTAGCGACCCCCAGGAGCACAACGACGACCACGCAAAGTCAGCTAACTTCCTTATTTGTTGTTAATATGCAGTTTCCCTTCGAATAACAAGCGTAACTTTTTTCCTTACTTGGCAGCGTTGGCTTTTCGTAAATAGACGAATGTCTCCACGGCCGCGAAAATGTGTTCATAGATGCCAGTACTTCCTGGTTGACGTTTTTGCATTTGCATCTGGGCACTGCTGATTAGATTGCGGTTTTTAAGCTCATAAGAAAGAGTGTTAAAGGTCTGTGGTATTATTCTCCACATGGCATTCCAGACATCGCAGTTTTCAGCATAGAACCGGTCATGGAATGCTGCTGTCAGATTATTTTTCTCACAGCCTTCCCAGAGATCCTTTTCGCATCTTGTTCTCTGAAATCGGGGTTTGTAATCCGTGTGCACGTACTTCTCTCCTCGCAGTTTCATCGTCTGCTTCAGGTTTGAAACGACTCGACATTCATATAGCCGACGCTCGTCAGTTGTGTTTCTGTCCTTCATCAATGGAAGCGTTGACGTTTTGTAAATCGACAAAGGCCTACACAACTGCGTGAATCTCTTCATTATTTAAATTATTTCCTGACTGACGTTTTTGTGTTTGCTGTTTCCGTAATGTGGGTATTGCTGATTAGTTCACGGTTTTTTAAACTCCAGAAGAGTGGTTAGGCCCCGTGGCATTATTTCTCTCATGACATCCCAGGTTTCGCAGTTGTCAGCAAGAGACCGGCCATGGAGTCCTGCTCTCAGATCATTTTTTTCTTGCAGCCTTCCGAGAGCTCCTTTTTGCATCTTTTCATCTCACAACGGCGATTGTAAGCTCTGTGGACGTTCTTCTTCCTTCGCAGTTTCATCGTGTGCTTCAGGTTCGAAACTAGTAGACCTTCGTATGGCCGACACTCGATAGTGCGCATTAGCATCATGATCAGCAGCT